TACAGTGCTCACCACCAACAGCCCCAGTAGTGCTGCCTCGACAACCACACTGCCCGCAGTGGCTCCAGTCAATTTTGCTACAACATCAAGGGACCAAGTTCAGCTATTTCGCCTGCGCTACTCGAGCAAATTGTGTTGACCGTAACAGCAGAAGTAACTCGACGCCTAACACCACTCTCGCAACCAGAGCTATCTGGTGAGGTTATTGAAGCTCCAGTGGTTACTCCTGCTGGAACTTCAATGATTCCACAACTGCCTGGTTCTGCTGTCATCGAGCAAGCTTTACATTCTGCCCACTCAGCCATTACAGGTGAGACATTCTCTGCTATGCCCTCATTGCCTGGTCAACTGTACCATTCGGTAACCTTACCTCTTGACTCTCGAGTTTCCACGAAATTGAAGAACAAGATTTGGGATGATAATTTTATAGATTTTGGGTCTCTGTTGAGCAATCCAGTGATGGATAATAAGTTTCAACTTAGCGTCACGCCTTCTAGTGATGGTCTCGCTTCATCACTTTCACTTGATCTGGTCACTAAACCACAAAAGGTGGCTAGTATTTCGATGTGGATGAGCGCATTTCGCATTTTTGTCGGGGTTTATGAAGTATGGCGATATTGTGCAGGACCTGGTGGATCGAGGCCACAATTGGCGTTTTTATGACAAAAACTTTCGTTTTTTGCGACAAACAGAACGCAGCGCGCTGTCTTGGGGTAACGTGCACTGGGAATTGTGGCTTAGGTCTCAATACTCTCCCAATAAACCAGCCGGCCAAATGCAGCGCGCTGGGGTTTCTGCTAAAAAACAGCCATTTCTAAACGTACCACGCGGTCATTGTTTCAAATTTCACAAAGGTGACGAATGTTCTGGCTGCGAATTTAAACATAGCTGCTTTAAATGTGGAGGCCCGCACCCCGCATTGCGATGTAATTTTCGTGGCTTTTCAAAGAAGGAGCAATTTCGAACTACCAGGTCGAACCAGCACAATATCGCTTCCAACGCCAATAAAACTAAATCATCTTAGATATTTTTTACAAGGTTATACTTCACAGGATACTGCAACACTTATTTCAGGTTTTACTACCGGTTTTTCTTTACATTTTCACGGCACTATAAATCTTAACGAAGGCAAGAACGTGCCTTCTGCGTTAAATAATCAAAGTGCAGTTGATCAAAAATTATCTAAGGAATTAGCTGCTGGTAGACTGGCCGGACCTTTTATTGCGGCGCCATTTCATCCCTTTCGAGTTTCTCCCCTTGGTCTTGTACCGAAAAAGTCCCCTGGCGAGTTTCGTCTGATTCACCATTTATCTTTTCCTCGTGGATCGTCAGTCAATGATGGCATGACACCTGACAATACGAGTGTCCATTATGCCACAGTGGCTGATGCTATTTGTTTAATAAAAGCTGCTGGGAAAGGTTGTTTTCTTGAGAAAACAGACATTAAAAATGTGTTTCGTATTATTCCAATTCGCCCAGAAGACCATTGTTTACTCGGAATGAAATGGCGCGGCAAGTATTATTATGACCGTTGCCTACCTATGGGCGCAGCGAGTTCATGTAAAACTTTTGAAACTTTTAGTGCTGCCATTCAATGGATTGCTCAGCAAAAACTTAGTATACCAGCTATTCTACATTTGCTTGATGACTTTTTGCTGGTAGCTGCGTCCTATGATTCCTGCTTGACTCAGTTGCATCGATTTATCAATTTTTGCACTTTTATTGGGTTACCTATGGCCCCGGAAAAGACATGAGGTCCGTCAACGACGTTGTCTTTTGCGGGTATTGAGTTAGACACCATAAAACTTGAGGCGTGTTTACCTTTAGATAAATTACACAAATGTACTGATTTTATCACCGCATTTCGACAGCGTAAGAAAATCACATTAAGAGAATTGCAATCTTTAATTGGCCTCTTAAATTTCGCCTGTTCTGTCATCATCCCAGGACGGGCATTTTTGCTTCGCTTAATTGACCTCACCCACGGCATCCGTTTATCTCATCACTTCATTAAGCTCAATCGCAAGTCAAAAGAGGATTTAAATATTTGGCTCACGTTTCTTGCCAAATATAATGGCCGGTCGTTTTTTATTGACGAACGATGGGCCAATTCTCAGCAACTAAGTTTATTCACGGATGCTGCGGGTGGTGTCGGTTTCGGCACAATATTTGGCTCAAAATACTATTATGGTTTATGGCCTGATACATGGCGGCATCGGAACATTGCAATTCTAGAGTTTTATCTGATTGTTCTGAGTTTATGCTTGTGGGGTCATGGGATGGCAAACCGCAGTGTTTTGTTCTTCACTGACAATGAGGCTCTGGTTTACGTCATCAATAAGCAATCACGCAGGGACAAAACTTTGATGCAATTTGTTTGTAAGCTTGTCCTTGTATGCTTGCAACATAATATCTTATTCAAAGCCAAACATATTCCAGGGACGTACAATCGTTTGGCTGATCTCTTGTCTTGCTTTCAGGTTCAAACCTTCAAGCGCGAGGCACCAGCCTCGATGAATTCCTGCGCAACGGACGTCCCTCCAGTTCTACTGCCACAAAATTGGGGGATATTATTTCCCTCCTAACACAGTCAAGCTTGCGGCAATCCTCCATCGCTACATATAGGACGAGCTTGGAGAGTTTTCGACCTATTCCATATTCATGTTTTTGGTACATCTTCCCACATATTGCCTATATCACCTCACACTTTAGCGTTTTTCATAGCTTACATGTGACACCTATGTTTCAGCAATTGGTTATTCACACAAACTATTGCACTTGGTTGACCCTACTAAGGTATTTTATATTGTACAAATGTTAAAAGGCAATGGAAAACTTGGCTTTCGCTTAGATAGTCGGTTACCTATCACTCTCCCAATTTTAACCCGATTACTAATGGCTGCTCCACACTGTATTGGCACTTCATACGACCAATGCCGCTTTCAGGCTATGTGTGGTCTCGCATTTTTTGCCTTTCTACGTATTGGCAAGATAACATCGACATCAAAGCAGTCTCCTATTCCTCTTTGTTTGAACCAGCTCACCAAACTCTTAAGAGACGGTGAAGTAATTGGTTTTAAATTAACCTTTACCGACTACAAACACAATTACAATCAGCGACCGTTTTCCATGGTCATTTATCGTCAACCAAGTCATAGCCCCTGCCGAGTAAAACTGTTATGTCGCTATTTAGCCTGTTGTGGCAATTCCTCTGGACCTATTTTCATTACTCCTGCGGGGGCAGCAGTGTCGAGAAACATGTTTGCTAAACAGCTGAATGACTGTCTAAAATTTTGTAATCTCAATCCTTCCGTTTACAAGTCTCATAGTTTCAAAATTGGTGCAGCATCATTTGCGGCAGAACATGGGGTGTCCGATGCGCAGATGCGCATTCTGGGTCGTTGGAAATCGAATGCATTTCACAAGTACATCCGCGTTCAAACGCCTACTACAACATAACCTATATTATTTTGGCACCCTCTTTTAAACAGCATTGCAGGGTGATGTCTAGAGGAGGGTTACAATTATGGCTTATGGTGTTATTCAGCAGGGGCGGATAACACCATTTCTGCCAAAATACATATTATAGCTTACATATATATTTAACTTGGCAGTTAGCAGGGGCAACTGTTACTATGCTATCCAATTGTAAATAATATTGCACGGTGAGCAGGGGCCACTGTCTTCAAACAATTGAATGTGTCACCAACAAACACTTTATACATAAGCGGCTAGCAAGGGCGGTCGTTTCAACATTTATGGAAACAGTCATCCTGAAAGATGTTTTCAATCTATATCAATTTTGATGGTGCGCAGGGGCGTCTGTCTTTTCTAAATCAAGTGATATTGTGTATCCAATATTATTTGTATATGATACACTGACTTTCCATTGGGATGCATTATTATAGTCCTTGGCGTTGCATTTCCCTCGGGTGGGGAGACTTTTTATATTCATTTCCTCCATTTGCGTACTGGGAAATGAATTGCAAAGTCTTTGGCGTGTAGTCCTGCCACCTTTACTGGCAATTGAACATCAATATATAAATCAAAATGAACTCTAGTATTATTCTGATGATTAAAATATGTTATTATTGATTTTTATATAATCATTTTCAATGAAGCGGCTATGAATTGTTCATAGCCAAAATTTACCCATAAAGACATTGTCCATTTATTGGCTCATGCAACGCTAATTGGATATCCATAGTTTATTAACTGAAGGAAGGCGGGACGTAAATAAAAATATTTCCCAGGAAATATGGATTTTTATGTCACGCCTGGATTAACACGATTAGATGACATAAATAGCTTTATCTTAATCTATGGCGCGCCGATTGAAGAGGCAGGAAATGTCAGTGCCTAAAACTACGTAACAGTGCCCAGATCAAGGTCGGATTCTTGGCATATAACGAAGATATAGCACAAGTAATTTCATAAGTCCACAAGACTTGTATCAGAGCGAAACACTTGAACTTACCCACCTCCTCCCACCAGGCCTGCCAGCTATAATTAGATTTTGTGGTTTAATTAGTTATACACACCTCCTGGCGTGTAGTCCTGCCACCTTTACTGGCAATTGAACACCAATATATAAATCAAAATGAACTCTAGTATTATTCTGATGATTAAAATATGTTATTGATTTTTATATAATCATTTTCAATAAAGCGGCCATGAATTGTTCATAGCCAACATTTACCCATAAAGACATTGTCCATTTATTGCTTGCCAGTAAACATAGCTTGGTTAACTCATTAAGCGGCAATGTGCCCGAATGCGCCCTGAGATTGGCAAGGGGGGAAGCGGCAATGCGCCCGAAACGACACGCCATTTTCATTGGCCGATTGCTAAAAACATGCATTTCGCGTTGCTTAGCAACAGGCACCTATAAAAACACCCGAATCCGCTCTTTCAAATGAGACCTCGTGCAAGCTTGTACAGTTAATATTGTCCAAGTTACGAGAGTTTTAAAACACCTTTTTGCGAATTTTTTTTTAAATATGGCTGAAGCACTTAGTATGTTCAACAGTAGTGAGGACGAAAGCGATTTTGAGGGGTTTTTAATCGACGAAACGGTTGAAGAAACATGGCCTATCGCAGTGGGAACATCGGCGGTTTCGTGGAGAGACATAGCGGGCGATTCAGACTTTCACGGTTTTTCTGACATCGAAGTTCAAGAACTCGACAGCGATAGTGTGAGCGAAAGTGGAAGCTAGATAAGTAACGATAGTTTTGATGGTATTTTTGAATGGAAAGATAATTTAAGTAGTGTTAGTGTTGAAGACTTTACTGCCGACTTTGGCCCTCGACATGGCTTGGGTTTAGACGCTTCCCCTAAGGACTTTTTCGACTTGTTTTTCGGCCATGCGTTTTTCGATCTCATTGTGCATGCTACAATTTCGTACGCCTGTTCAAAATGCAACGATCCAAATTTTACAACCGACCGCGACGAAATGTCTGCATTTTTTGGCTTGAATATTTTGATGGGAATAAACAAACTTCCAAAAATCCGGTCATACTGGGATTCAAATTTATTTTTAGGAAATGCCGGCTTTAAAACAACAATGCCTTGAAAATATTTCCAGATTTTGAACAAGTATTTTCATATTTCGGACCCGCGGCAAGAAAACCCAACCGATAAACTTACAAAAATTCGGCCCCTTATTTCAAAGCTCGAAAATGCTTTTAAAGATGTTTATGTGCCTGGAAAAATATTTCGATTGATGAGGGTTTGATTAAATTTAATGGTCGTTTATCTTTCAAGCAATATATGCCTAAAAAACCGAATAAATTTGGTATCAAAATTTGGATGTTAGCCCGATTCTGAAACTTACTTTGTGCTGCGCTTTCAAGTTTACTTAGGTAAACAACAAAATGCCCAAAATGCCGATGAAAATGATGCGGAAGAGGCGCGAGGTCTCGGTTTTAAAGTTGTCGATTTCCTGGGAAAACCCTACTATAATACTTACCGTCATTTCTATTTCGATAACTATTTTTCCTCGGTTCCTTTACTCGAACATTTGCTTGAAAACAAAACTTACGCATGCACCACAACAGGAAATATTTTCCTGCTGATTTGAAAAAAATAAAACTTAAGTGTGGAGAAATGCGAACTCGACAAAATGAAAATTTAGTTTGTTTGACATGGCAAGATAAACGTTTAGTCACGATTTTGTCGATCCACAGCCCGAAGTTTTCGGCCCTTTAGATGAACGCACTGGAAAAAGGAAAGCCGTTCCCGAGGAAGTGTGAGAAAAACCCGCCGTCATATCATTGTATAATAGGTATATAAACGGTGTGGACGTAAATGACCAGTATAGGAGCTACTACCCTGTAGGAGCTCAATCTAAAAAGTGGTGGAAATATTTGGCTTGGTTTTTTGTGAATATTTCAATTGTAAACGGTTTCATATTACAAAACTTGCAGACTGATCGACGCCGTCGCCTAAAACATTTAGATTTCCGTCTTGCTTTGACAAGGCAACTTATTTCGACCTATAACGGCTACAAAAAGATTTCTAGTGCTCCGAATGGCCGTAAAAAAGATGTTCCAGTGGGTAGAAATGTTAAGGGCCATAGTTTAGTGAAGTCTTCAGAGCGAAAACGAGCATGTGGGATGTGTTCGAAAGCGGGAAGGAAGCGTGCGTCGGGAAGAACATTTGAAAGTATATATGTGTGCTCAGTGTAATGTAAATCTTTGTAGAGAGCGAGCTTGTTTTATGGAATGGCATCAATAAAGTTTGTCTTACTATTAGACAAAACCATTCAATGTTTGCATGTTTTATATTATGCTGTATGTAGTGTTTTTTAATAAAAACTGGCTCTTTGCCAGGCAGTTTGCCGAACAAGGAAGCCATGTCAATGCAGACAACAGCTCGCCATCATCTATCACATTTCAGATTTTACCCCCAAACTCTGCTCATTTCATTTAAGTTTAGCAAGTATATAAATCATAGTAAATTTCAGTAAAATTAAGACAAAAACCAACCCATCAAGGCATGAATTTATAGGTGTATTTTGTTTTCAAATATTGTTATGGAAACACAAATTATACTTTATACATTACATATTTTTTTGCATGAAGGCAACTAAAAATATGCATGAAAAAATCTCATATTTTTAGTAATACAACCCCATTCGTTATAAGAATTTAAATCCTGGCTTTTCAACTATTTTGTAAAAAAAAAATCATAAAGGAAATAATAGAAATATTAAAGTTTATAGTATTTCAAGGTTTTAAATATTCAATGTCTTAATTACAAAGGAAACATTTTTCAGAAATTAGCTATGTATGAAGTTCTCACTCATTTATCTTGTCTGTTATGGATCTAGTTGTGCTCATTTATACAAAAAATGAAAGCTTATTCATTACTCAATTGTCTTGCCAAATTTCATGTTTTACCATTACATTGCACTTGAGCTAGAACCATTCTTGTAAACATAGTTTACAGGAACTAAAATTCGCCATTTTGGTTGGCCCTAAGTGGGGTAGAAACATTGCAACTGTCTGCAGCTTAATGAGTTAATGCAATGCTAATTGGATATCCGTAGTTTATTAACTGAAGGAAGGCGGGACATAAATACATGTGTGCTTGGAAATACCAGATTTATTTCTCGTGCTGAACATGATATCTCACTTGTTTGCTGCGCTCACTCGTGAGATATCATGTTCAACACTCGAAATAAATCTGGTATTTCCGCACACCCATGTATTATTCTCTATTTATTAATTTGCCCACAAAATATTTACAAGCAGTAAAAATAATTACAGTAGTATAATGGGGCTAGGGACCTTTGGAGATGCTGTTGGACTTTTATAGTAAGTTTTAGTATTCTAATGATTAAAGACTATGAAAGAAGAAATTATATACAAGCAGAAACTATTTACAACAAATTGAAAGATGAAAGAATACTAAGAAATAAAATAGTACATTACTAATACTATCATTAGTGTCTCTAATGCTAAGGTTTTTAGAATTTATTTACATTAATTAGATAACAAGTAAAGGGAATTTTGCTTTTCTCTTAAATGAAAAATATGTTTTGGTATTTTTAATTTTGTCATCAAGAAAATTCCATAAAGAAATTCCTTTGTTAAATACAGTATATATATGGTAGTTTTGTTCTTTTATAACTCACATATAACTTGGTAGAATTTCGCGTATTATAGTTGTGTACATCGTTATTTTGTTTGAAGGTAATCGTTATAAAAGTCCGGCGAATTTTGTCAATAATTGCGACGATACATGGATAAACTACATAAATAATCATTCATTTGGTAGATGTTCAAGATTTTCAAACCAAAAATAGTGGTTTAGAATGTTCCATATAGGATTTAAAACTAATTAGTCGAACAATTTTCTTTTGCACATTCAGTAACTTTTGAACCCTGGTTGGGTATGATAGAATAAAGCATAGTATACCAATTTCAAACTGTTTTTGTTAGTAAAATGTCTTAATTTTGCAATCAAACCCGTGGATTTTATTATATTTTTCTGAACTGAGCTAATGTGGTTCTTCCATGAAAAATCGTGGTCAATTAATACACCCAAAAACTTTACATAAGATGCTTGTTTAATAATATTATTTATTTTGAGAGTAATTTCTTGATTCAAAGATTTATTTTTTGATTTAAAAATGATAAATTTTGTTTTGGATGGGTTCATTGATAATTTATTGGCATTTAGCCATTCCACTATTTTATTAATTTCCTTTTGTATAATGTCAGCTAATGTTTTTAAACATGAATTTGAACAATGAGCATTTGTATCATCAGCATATAAAACAAAAGAAAGGATGTTACTACAATTTTCAATATCATTTATGTATATTAGAAATATGAGTCGTCCAAGTATTGAACCTTGTGGGACTCCAATCATAACATTCATTTCATTTGACCGACTGTTGCGTATATTTGACAATTTGGCTTTCCTGTAAATAATTTGTAAACCACTGTAGACATATTCCTCTAAGTCCATACTGTTCAAGTTTTTTTATTAGAATTTCATGATTCACTGTGTCAAAGGCTTTAGAAAGATCAAGGAAAATACCTATTGTGTACAGACCTTCGTATGTTCAGGTGCTTTATTCCTTCTAAAACCAAACTGATGTTATGAAAGTATTTGATGTTTCTCAACATAGTTATATAGTTGTTTGTACATAAGTTTTTCAAGTAGTTTAGCAAAGCAAGTTAAAACCGATATAGGTCTATTTTCATTCGCTTTATAATTAGGACTAATTATAGCTAGTTTAAAAAAGTTTGGTATTTTTCCAGTTTGAAACGATAAATTATAAATATATGTTAGAGGCTTGATTATATTTTCACTAATCTTTTTTATCATTTTTGCACTTACTTCATCATGTCCTGCACTTTTATTTTCATTTAAGTTATTAATTCCAATTTGCAATTCATATTCTGTCACTGGTTCAATAAAGATACTTTCAACATAATTACCATTAAGGTAGCTTTCGTATGTTATGTTATCATTTCCTGGAATTTTTTTGCTAGTTGAGTGTCTATATTTACGAAATATTCGTTAAATTTGTTAGCAATTTCCTGGGGATTTGTAACATTGTTATTTGAACTCTTTTGTAAAAAAGTATCAGGTAGATTTTTTCTTGTCTTATTTCTGTTAAGCACTTCATTGATAGTTTGCCATGTTTTTTGTATCATTTTTGTACTTAACAAATTGTTTTTCACAATAGGCCTTTTTTGCGGTTTTTATTACGTGATTCAGTTTGTTTTTGTATTTTTTGTAGTCTGTCTCATTTTTGTGAGTTTTTTTTTTATATAGACTTGAATATACCATTTGTCATCCAGGGACTTTTTGTGTGGTTTACCAGGCTGCAGAGTATGGCAGTGGTGCACCCAAGATAAATTTATGCTATAACGATTGCGCACTTGCCACAACATTCCGTCCGATTTTCCGCACCCCACCCACACGCTTACTCCCAAGATCACACATTAAATATAGCATGCTAAGATCTCAGTTTTTTGGTTTATTCGTAACTTTTGTTTTGTTCTTGTCATACAGTAGGTATAGACACAGAATTGGGTTGTGATCTTTTGCATGTTTACAGTATTACAGTAAATGTTTTGTTTTTCGATGCAGACTAAAATAATCTGCACAATTAGGTACCTATCAACAATAAGTTACGGCTTTAATTACTAATCATATCAATAATTCAATTACTGATATCTATTGTTTGAAACAGAAAATGAATCAATACAAACACAGTGAGCAGAACTTGACTGCTGCAACTTAGTTAAATTTTCATAAGTCCCATTAGTGATTAGTCATCTTCAACAACAAGAAATTGACATCTTGGTGGCTCTGTTGCATGCCTGTCAACAACTTTGCTCACGTTATATTTTCGTGCTGCCCTCTCTCGAACATTGAAAAATGCTGCTGATTGGTGCTTTAGAATTCCGAGCTTCTGGTTACCACTTGTATATAGTTTTCCAATTTTTGTAATAGTTGAAGGGCAAGCAAGCAGATGTGGTAGAGCCCAATCCACAACAGCTCTTTCCTTCAGGACTTTATTTGACTGGCCACGAGACTTTGCGTGCACTTTGATGACACTGTAGAAACCTTCAAGTATTGCTTCGCAACCACTACACGTTAATGCAACATCGAGTACAATACAGGCATCTTGACCCAGACAATTGAATATATCAGCATTGCAATACAACATCAACGTTGTAAATTCTTTGTCTAGGTATGCCGCAACAAACTTTCCTGATGAAAATTTCAACATAAACCATTTATTTAGTGTGTGCTTCTTGATGATGGAGTTGAGTTTCAGATTTCAGTGAGTTTGGCTCCTGTTAAACTCGTCAACACATTCTCCGTCCCTGGTTAAGAACATCTCTTTAGCCACACCTCCAAGGTTTTCCCATAACATCTTCTTCACAGTCATCTTCAAGCGATTGGCAACAAGTTGGCTACTATGAGCCAACAGATTAGAGGCTATATTATGTTTAACATGATCTCTTATTTGTGGCAGGGAACAAACCTGCTTGAAAAAAATTGAAAATTCCGCCATCCCCTTCTTCTCCCACGAAGTTCGGTCTTCCACGCTGATCACAAGTTTCCCGTGGTCAAATCTGAAACATGAAAATCCACAAACTATCTCTTCCAAATCAAATGCTTGAAAGAGCATAGCCAATTCAGCATTAACAATCTTATCGTAACAGCTTTGTAGACCATTCTTCAGCTCCCTACACAGCACTATCGGATCTTCAATACATTCAGTTGGGGATCTCGCACTCCAGTTATACATTGTTGACACAGTGGTGTGACCCGATTCCAATCGCTGTTTGACATTCTCTTGTCCAACAACTAACCATCCTTCTAAAAGAGGTGTGGTAAGAAAAAGGCAATCCTCTGCCTTTTTACGAGATAGTTCATCCCAGTGCTTGCTTAATCTTGGAAGAAGATTTTCATCAGGCTTGTCTCTGTTAGCATATCTTCAAGGCTCTTTTCAATTGTGGTCAGGCTTTCAGTGACTACTGGGAACCAGCCAACTATTTTCCAAGGAGGAAAGTTAACCGCTTGGCACCGCACCATCAATGTTACTGCAGGTTTCAAAACATGCAGCGTACCACAAATATCAATCACATAGTCTGTACCATGTACCTGTGTACCTGATACTTGGTTTCTTCTTCTTCGTCAGCCGAATTCTCAAGATTTTCGATAAATGTTAGCTTGTATCAGAGCTTTGTAGCTAACGTAAGTCGTCTCCCATTGCTCATATGACGAACTTGTGAATCGCGTTGTTGCAAACGTAACTGTATCCAAGGCTTTCAGCCCCAAGGAAGCAGCAAGACCTTTGTATTCAATGTGTCCTTTTCCACTCCCAAACATAGTATGAAAGCTGTTGGACCTCTTGATAAGCCTTTTTAGAAACTGAGATGAAGTAGCTTCTACACGAAGAAAAATCACGCCAGATCAAGCCTGTGTGACACATCCCAAGACAAAACAAAATATGGATCAACAGGCGATATGGCCAAAAAGGCTTCTCTGAAACTTATTGGATAGATTGCAGTACTGTGGCATTACAGGAATCCAAATCTGATCTGTTCACTTTCACATAGTTTTCTTTAAGTTGGAAGCTCTCGATTTTTACTAAAAGTTCATTAATGCCACTCTGAATTTGCTCCATTGAAGCTTACTAAATGACCCGAATTGAGCGGCGCCCAAGGGAATTTTACTAAACGACCCTCATCGGGCGGGACGTTTTCAATAGCTAATTCGCCTCTTTTTACGCTAATATCATGATTGCGGGTATTCCCGTTGTTCTCGCAGGGCCATTAAAAAACAATTAACAATAAATAATGGTATAAATTAAATGGTATAATTGTTTTCCATGTCTTTGTTTAGTTTTTTGGCGATTTCAGATATCTTCATTTATATTCCTTTTTCCTAATCATACCCGCTTTGACGTCGTTTCGGGTAGGATTAGAACTAATTCTACCTGACATGACGTAAAAGCGGGTAGGAGTAGAAAAAATGAATATAATGAGGTGTATTCGTTTTTAATTGCCCTGCGAGAACAAAGGGAATACCCGCAATCATGATATTATTGCAATTTATTGCAAAATGGTGGGCCATCAATATTTATTGCCTGATAGTGGGGCATTTGATTGGAAACTTGCGAAAAAGAACATTAAGAACTGATCAACTCCCCCACATATACCCAACCTCCCGTCTCTGGGGCTCATTAAACATTGATATGTGCAAAGTAAATAGTAAATTATTCATTAGTAATATATAAATTTATAACACAAAAGAAACGAGGTCAAAAGTAAAAAAAAATGACATATTTAAATATTCAGAATGATTTCACTTACCTCCATTGAGAAAACCACACAATTACATATTAAACCATTTTAACTCTCTGCATTTGATTAATTTGAAGTTTTTGAACATGTAATTATGTAAACATGTAGTAGTTGTGGTCACCTTAGGATATAAAGTTGTGACATACTTGCTCAACACAGTGCCACTGAGCTAAATATATTCAAATATAACTGCAGTGTATAGGCAGTATACCCGAGTCAGTTCACTCAGTTGATTAACACATTGTGTTTAAAGATAATCTCCAGTCGAATTTGCGCATGTGTGGACAATGTTGTTATGTGGGGTTCGCATGTAAACAATATCATAATATAGACTACATGAAGTACATGCTTAATTAGATTGCAACAAAAAACATGGCGGCCCGGGAAGAGTCTGGTGGCAAAAAAGAAAGGCGAAAAGCCTATGAAACTAAAAGGTCAAAGTCAAGAATCTACTTGTATGAGCAATTCGCTCCTTGGAGACAGTTAAAAGAAGAATTAAGTCTTGCCAGCGATGAACAGCTCGCAGCGGTTTTGCTGAACGACTATTTTTCCCGAAGAGATCGTCGTCCTATACCTCGGTATGTAGTCTATAATAAACTATATGTTTATACTATCATATATAACTATATAATGAGTATTTAAAATTATGTAGAATGGTGACGACTAGTAATTATTTGCGTTACTTTGATCTCGTTTATTAATCTACCTGAAGGCTGTAACCAACTAAACATTATGTTTTAGTGATGTTGAAACGTCAAACACGAGGTCAATCCCGTTTGATACGTCAATGCCATTGCCTATACTGTTGCCTGTTTCTGGCGAATCGTCATGTACTCAAGCACAACTTTGTAAGTCTGTTTTAATTGCATCATTCACTCATGTTCTGTTCTTATATTCCTGACATACAGTAATACAAAGTAACATTAATTTTGTCCTATACATTCCTAGTGATGATATCTACCCAGTTGCAGACAATATTGTTCCTGGCAAAACTAGTGAACCTTGTGAGTCTCCTCCTAGTAAACAGGGGCTACTTTCTGATTCTACGCTCACAGCAAGTGATCACTCAAGGTATAAATAATTTATCATTCGCTGCATCATCATGTCATGTGTTGACTTGTTTGATCCTGTGATCTGGGTCATTAATACACTATATACCTAAGCTTTATTCCTTCACTGGCAACCAAACAATACAGTATTGTAGGAAATAATTTTTTTTGTTGTCAGTATTATTCTTTTAAAATGCCTCAGTCAACTCTGTTATTAACTCACCAGCTTGACCCATTAAAAAATAAACTTTGCCCACTTAGGGCCTGTTTACATCGAGGTAGGGTGACCCTATCAGGAGGGTTACCCTAGCAAGCAGGTCACCCTAGTCTAATGTGTTTTATAGGAAGCGTTTACATGCGTGCTATGGTTACCCTATACGTCCTACTGTGACTGCTAGACAAACAAGGATGGCGTCGCAAGATATCAGCCTGGCGATTATTTTAAATGACACCAGAAAAATAAAATGGATAGGCAATCTACACATAAGGAGGCAGAGAATCTAGCTTTGCCTTTGAAAGAGAACGCTGTGAATGATGTAGTTTCGATAACAAACTAACAAAGTCAAAGATGATAAAAAGGACGCAAAATTCCGGCGCATCCTCATCGAGCACAGAACGTAACAGACCACAACATTGAAATGCAGCAAGCAAAGGCCCAAGAAATAGCATTACACAACTTACTGTTAAAACGTTGCGTTTCGGCGCTATTTTTCTAATACCGGCAGCTTAGTGACCACGCATAAGTAGGGTTACACTATCGGGCAACATAACCCTAGCAGTAGGGTTACCCTACCTCATGTAAATGCTTGCCATTTTCTGACACGCTTACCTCCATGTAAACAGCATCTTAAAAAAACAAAGGAGTAATGGTACCGGTAAAATCATACATCCATACTGTATTTGACTGTCAATAAAGGTAAATTTTTGAGCCTGCATTACTCAGCATATACTGAACCTGTAATTGTATCTATTTAGGTTTCCATGTATACAATGTTCCCTGGTTTCCCATGTATGCAATGTGCCCTGCGCAGACAATTTTACTTGTCAAGATAAATAGTTGGGTTTTGCATGTTCATGGACGAAACTCAAGGGTTACAACTTTTTTCCCCTATAGAATGGATAGTATAATTGAGAAACAACTGTTACTGCTACTATGAGTAATTCAGATTCTGATGGTGATCCTGACAATTTAGAATGTACAAAAGAAGGTTTTTGTTATTTGGTGATAATGCTCTGAATGCACAAACGAATTATTTGAAACCAAATTTAATATTCTGTGTGTATGATCTGGCCCGTAACAATTTTAGATTTAGTGATCGAGTTGAGCACCAATGCGAGAAACTGGTAGGGGAGAAATTGGTCATGCATGCTTTACCACAAATTGTGAGAGCAATTCAACACAATGAAAAGTGACACCTACTTTTTCCCATTTTTTCCCATTTATTTTTTATTATTTATTATCATTAAATTAATTTGATGACCTCAATTTCTGTTGTTGCAATGGAAGTGTTGATAAAATATTGTACCAATTCATTTCCTCAAGTTGACGAATTCATTTGATAGAAAAACTATCCACTTGCTGTTCAAATCAGCCCATCAGTCAGTTAGCCAATTAGATTTCACTTCAGAATGTATTGACCAATCACAAACACATATGAAGTAAACAAAGGAAATTTATTAATTTTCAATCGAATAAATTCATCAACTTGAGGAAATGAATTGATACAATATTTTATCAACAGTTCTATTGAAACAACAGAAACTAAACATAACAACTTGAACATGAACCTAGGAACAATTGTAACTTTTAGTCCTTGTGTGACAGCGAAGTTGTAATATTATAGCAATTACTTTATGTTTTGTGATAACTACAGCCGTGTTGGATGATAACCAACATACATCACATTAGGTGATGGGTGCCATTTCCTTGTTGCAATAACACAGCAACTAGGGTCTACTCTCCTGTTACCCTGCCCGAGTCTTCCTTGCTGCCAAGGACGAATTGTCTATAGGCTGTATGCCTAAAATTATCATTGTTACGAGGATGTAACATCGCCAACATGTCCTCCCTGTAATGCGTTGCCAAATCCAACACATTGCCATCCAAAACAAGTTGAGTAAAAACTTGATCAGGTTCCTCCATATGGTCCATCATTATTGGAAGCTCTCCATTTACAACATCAGCAAAAACTGCTGGTTGACGAAGAAGTAGTTCCCCCGCTAAACGCCGGAGAGTTTCCTTATCCAGGCCATTTATTAGTTTCTATAAAATGTGCATACCAATATGTCAGTGTAACATGGTGAAACCATTTATAAGACTCGATTAACTATATTTTATTAGATCAAAATTGTCAAATAATTATAACACAAAACGAAAAGGCAAAATAACTTATCTTGACTCATAGCAATGGTAAAGAGCCTGACTTAGTTATTAATAAGCTATAGTTATAAATTGTACATGATGTAATAAAAAATAATTTAATTATATGACTTCCCATATTACCTGGTTTTTGACTCACGGATGTTGCGAAGCAACATCTGTGAGTCTTTGTGGTTTACTTGAGTGGGGCAGTTAAACAATGGGAAATGACCAGCCTGCTTTGCGCGCAGTGTTTGCCTTAGAATCGGGCCTTTTGGAACCGGAAATCGGGCTGGAGCACGCTTTCACGTTCTTTTCAACTTTTGACTTTTTGAGAAGTGTATGCTAAATTAAAAGGTGAGTGTTTCGCTTTTGTTTAGTTGACTTAATTGTTATCTGTTTTTCTACTTCACCCAACAGATCTGCTGATAAACACACTGATCTACCTTTTAGCTGAAATATTAACAATATTTTGTTCAATATACAAGTGTTCACATTTTCTGGTGCCTTTCGAGCGCCTCTGTTAACTGTGTTTCAACACCGTTTCAACACCGTTTCAACACCGTTTCAACACTGTTTCCATAGTTTCTGTCGATTGAAAGAGTTTTTTGTTTACCAAATTTAATCGTGTTATTTAAATAATTCATGTTTTAGCTGTCACGGAATACAATATTTGAAGCAACACGACACAAAATCTTGGTAAGTCACGTTGCCGTTGTATATTTCACATGACTGCGCTTGCACTGTAGCCTAGATAAGCTGACATGGACGAGTCTCAACAGTGTATCGATAGATCGCTTCGTTTTTATCCTCTATCAGGAGAATTTCAGCTGTCCTTATGCTCTTTGATGAATGTCCCACTTATATTTAGACGCAATGAAACAACATCAAAACCACTAGTTAATCCAACGAAACTGTGTCGGATTACAGGGGATGGCAATTGTTTATTTAGAGCACTGTCATATTTTTTAACCGGTAGACAAACATACCACATGATTTTAAGACAAAAAATAGTGGATCACATGAACAGTATAGAACATGTCCTTAGACCACATATGAATAGTTCAGTAGATCATTATTTAGCCACAAGCAACATGAGAAACAGTGGTGTGTGGGGGACTGATATTGAAATTTTTGCAGCCACTTCCCTTTTCAATGTAGATATTTATGTTTATTCACAGTTTGGTAACAATTATAGATGGTCTAAATTTTCTCGAAGCATGTTAGATAGATTGCCTGTGTCTAGTGAAATGGGGATTTACCTACAGAATTCAACTGGGGTTCACTATGATGTTGTGCTTGATGTTTCCGAGGGAACCAGTGATTTAACTTTTGCAACTAGCCAAGGTCAGAAAATAAACTTGTCTTCAAATAAAGAAGTCAGTCAAAGTATGATGACACTATCAACTCGTCTATTTGCTAAAGGTCTAAAACCTTTTGATGTTGGTGGTGATGGAAATTGTTTTTTTAGGGCTGTTTCTCATCAATTATTTCAAAATTCCAACTTTCATCAAATTGTGCGCTCAACAGCTATAGATTACATTAGAAGTCACCCAGAACAATTTGTCGAAAGTACAGCAAATATATTAATAGTATGTCGATGAATGGCACATGGGCAGATGCGATTGTAGTTCAAGCCGTTTCTGATGCCCTGAATTGTATAATTGATATTACTGAGTCTGCACTCAATTTCAATGCAACGACTATTATTCACCCAGTTATTCATGGAGCAAAGTATACTAAAATACATATTGGGCACATCGATGAACTTCACTATGTTTCTGCAACAATGTATTCTGCAAACAAGCCAAAAACAAGGCAAGATACTAGCACCAATAAAGTCAAGGTAGAACAGGCACAGAAGTTAGAAAGTCCAAAAGAACAAATAAGTTCCATGAGCACTGAAACAGAATCTATGAAGCGAAAAAGATGCAGTTTTAATCACGGGCAACTACAGCATGAATTAGAATGTAAAAAAACTAAATATGATGCACAAAAAATGAAATATTCAGATGTCAGCGAGAGACAAAAATACATTCAGACATTTCATGATCTTGTTAAATCTGGTCCTGAGTATATCTGTACATGTTGTGATCAGTTATGGTACAGAACATCTGTAAAGATGTGCAAACCAAGTTGTTATAACATGTGTCCTGAGAATATTCTTAAGCTTTGTCTTACTAATGTTAAAAGTTTTGACAACATTGAATGGATTTGTTGCACTTGCCACTCAAACTTGAAAGATGGAAAGTTACCGGCATGTTCGAAGGCTAGTGGTATGAAATTCCCACTAAAGTCTGACCTACTAAATCTTACCTCCCTTGAAGAAAGGTTAATTTCTCCACGTATACCTTTCATGCAAATTCATGAACTTCCAAGAGGAGGTCAATTTAAAATACATGGGAATGTTGTAAATGTCCCAGCAAATGTAAACTCGACTGTCAATGTTTTACCAAGATCAATGAATGAATTACAAACCATTCCAGTCAAACTAAAGAGGCGTCTTAGTTATAAACACCACTACAGGTTCCAGACTATTCGGCCTATGAAGGTGCTAATGGCTGCCCAATATCTTGCAAAGAGTAGCAAATTATTTATAAATGAAGGTATACAGGTAAATGATGCTTTTCTTGATACATACACAGACAAAATGGGCAACAATTTGTTGTATGAGCCCAAATGCATGAATGAACAAGGCAACCAAAGTGATACTGATCAAGATCTTGTCTCCTCTTCTCCTATCCTTGAGAATGGAAAGGATAAGGTAAACAATAACAATAAGCAACATGATTTTGAAAACAGAAGTAAAGACTTTATTAGTTCTAAAACATCTGGCAATAATTCTGATGATAACTGGTGTGAAATTGAAGAGCGTCCGGCCCCAGTAATGGATACATTGCTAGTTGAACCTGACACAGTTCAAGATAGTGAATTAGTGTTTAACTTTGCACCTGGGGAGGATAATAAACCATTAGGTTTGTTTACTGATAAAGATTCCGAGTACTTGTCTTTCCCAACAATTTTTTGTGGAGAACGTAGAGTTGACAACAAGGACAGATTAGTTCCAGTTCACTATAGTACTGTGTGCAAATGGGAAATGCGGAGTCGGGATAGAAGGGGTGCACAGTCTGTTCCTAATATATTTTACAAACTGAAAAAACTCCAAATTAAGAGGATTCAAGATACAGCTTCTATTGCCATTCGGAAATGTAAAACTAAAGGGAAACAGTATAAGGCAGGTGATTTAAAATCAGAAGCCTCCATTCAAAAACTAGTGCACCTTGATGAAGGATTTAGAGTCTTGAGAAATCTTAGAGGATCCCCTCCATATTTTGAGAAATGCAAAAAGGACTTGTTTGCTATGATAAGACAACTTGGAACACCAACATGGTTTTGCTCGTTTTCTGCAGCTGAGACTAGATTTACTTAGAATGTTAGGTCGAATTGTTGAAGGGAAGGACTACAGTGACCAAGAAATAACAGAGATGACATGGCAAAAAAAATCTGAGCTGATACAAAATGATCCAGTTACATGTGCCCGGCACTTTGATCACATGGTTCATTTGCTTATCAATAATTTTATTAAAGGTGAGCATAACCCTATTGGTGATATACATGATTTTTTTTACAGGGTTGAATTTCAGCAACGCAGTTCTCCACACATACATGCATTATTTTGGGTTACAAATGCACCTGTATATGGTAAAAACTCACATTCAGAAGTAGCCTCCTTTGTTGAAAAATATGTTTCATGTAGTGATGATGTTCAAAACATTGAGGCAGATTTATTGAACTTACAACTACATAGACATGCAAAAACATGTAAAAAAAAAGGAAAAAACACTTGTAGATTCAACTTCCCCATGCCACCTATGTGTGAAACAATGGTGTTGCAACCTTTAGCTAAAGAAGACCTTGATGAAAAAGAGCTTAAGGAAATAAAAGCTAATTCTGCTCTGGTTGTCGATAAACTTGCTGGCATGAAGTATGGAAGTCAGAAAAATTATCAACAATTTCTTGAAGAAATGCTATTGACAAATGATCAATATATAAAGGCTATACAATATACACTACAGCGTGACACTCTTTTTCTTAAGAGATCGCCATCTGAAATACGTGTTAATAGTTACAATGTTGATCTTTTGAAAGCTTGGAGAGCAAACATGGATATACAGTATGTACTAGATCCCTATGCATGTGCTGTTTATATTTTGTCATATATAACAAAAGGGCAAAGAGGAATGAGCAAACGTTTAGAAAAAGCTAGTGAAGAAGCAAAATTAGGTAATAAAGCTTTGTTAAGTCAGATTAGACATATTGGGAACACATTTCTTAATTCTGTTGAAATAAGTGCTCAAGAGGCTGTTTATTTAGTGTTACAAATGGCTTTGCGCCGATCGTTGCGTAATGTTGTGTTCATTAATACATCAAACCCTGAAGAGAGAACGTTTTTACTGAAATCGAAAGAACAAATAAATGCACTGCCAGATAATTCTCAAAATATTGAGTCTGATAATTTGATTAAACGATATCAAAGGAGACCAAATCAGTTGAAACATGTATGCTTAGCGGAGTTTGCTGCTTGGTATAACTGCGTTCATCATAAATCAAACCAGTCAAACACTAAGAATAACAAGATTCAAAATGACTTTTTAGCTGAATGTGATTTTCAGCCTAATGTTGATGATGATTTTTCTGAGAATGAAGCAATTGATCTTAACCAACAAGAGTATCAGCTGAAGGGAGGATTAACACTTGTCAAAAGATCTACACCAAAAGTCATTCGCTCTGTAAGATTTAACAAAGTCAAGGATCCTGAAAATTATTATAGAGAGCAACTGATGCTCTACACTCCTTGGAGAAATGAACTCAAAGATCTTTTGGGAACATGTGAAAGTTATTTGCAGATGTATGAGTCATTAGAAGGTTTAATTTTGAAAAATAACCAGCAATTTGAATTTCAATCTGATATTCTTGACAAAGCGATTGAAGAAATATCAAACAAAGAAGATTTAGAAAATCCTGTAGTTGAGTCTAATCAATGTGATGCTATTGCACCTAATACGCAACATCTAGATGAACAAGACCAACTTGCTAAAAAACAGGCTAGTGAGTTATTTGGTTGTTTTAATCCTGGAAAAAATACAAATCACAGTCACTATGACCTGATGGATGATATTGGAATTTATCCTAGTTCAAATAATGTAGAGTTGACAACTAACCAAATGAATGATACTGATTTTAGGAACCTGGTCAGATCTCTAAATAAGGAGCAAAGGCAGTTCTTCAATCATGTACTCCATTCTGTCAAAGTAAGCGATGATCAATTATCACTCTTTTTAAGTGGTGGTGCTGGAGTGGGAAAGAGTTGGGTTACTAACGCTTTATACGAAGCAGTTACAAAGTATTTAAACCATGTTGTTGGAGAGAATCCAGATGAAGCAAAAGTCATTAAACTTGCTCCAACCGGGAAAGCTGCTTATAATATTAGAGGCAACACTGTCCATTCTGGACTTCAATTACCTGTGAACAAAGGATTTCACTATATACCCCTTGACAATGACAGACTCAATACAATTCGATCTAAGCTAAGAAAACTCAAAGTTGTACTCATTGATGAGATTTCAATGGTTGGCAGCGGTATGTTCAACTTCGTCAATTTACGCTTGCAACAGATCATGGGTTCAAAAATGCCATTTGGAGGTGTAAGTATCATTGCTGTAGGGGATTTGTTTCAGCTTCAACCAGTTTTTGACAAATGGATTTTTGAAAACAGCAACAAGGATTATGGCCCACTGGCTCTAAATGTTTGGCAAGAGTATTTTGAAATGTATGAGCTAACCCAAATAATGAGACAAAAAGAAGATAAGCAGTTTGCAGAACTTTTAAATCGGCTTCGAGAAGGACATCATTCGCAAAATGATATTGAACAATTGAAAACTAGAATCTTGCAACCAAACTGTAGCAATTCAAATGTCACACACTTGTTTACCACTAATAAATCTGTGGCTGCTCATAATAATAAAACGTTTACGTGTTGTAATGATGATAAAGCAGAAATAGAAGCAGTGGATATTGTAGTAGGCGATATTTCTGATGATAAGAAGCAGCAATTTAAACAGAGGATCTCATCAGATTCCACTAAAACTATGGGGCTGCATTCCGTTCTCTCAGTTGCCACATCTGCAAAATACGATCTAACCACCAACGTTTCTGTCAATGATGGAATGACAAATGGCAGTGAATGCACAATTTGTAAGATTGATTACAGAGTTTTAAATTCAAGTAGAACGAATATTATATGGGTTTTATTTTCAGAACCTAATGTTGGACAGAATTGTCGTAACGAAAACTCACACTTGTATAACACACACGTACAAAGGCATTGGACCCCAATATTAGAGATAACTCGACAATTTAAAATTGGAAAAAGTACCAATGTAAAAAAAGTCTTACGAAGGCAGTTCCCTCTAAGGCCAGCTGCTGCAAAAACAATTCATCGTTGTCAGGGAGACACTCTTGATGAAGCAGTTGTTGATTTCCCAAATTCAACCAGAGAGCACATGCACTATGTTGGTCTTAGTAGAGTTAGAAACATTGACAAGTTGCACATTTTAAATTTAAGTGAGAACAAAATCAGATTTAATCCTAAAGTTGAAGAAGAAATGGCCAGACTCAGATCTAAATGTAAATTAGTTCCATGTGTTCCAGATCTCACAGCAGTTTCCTACACAAAAACGTTAAAAATACTATTTCACAATGTCAGGTCACTTCATCTTCACATCTCGGACATTTCAAACGATTTTGATGTTCAAGCAACAGACATAAGTATCTTTGTTGAAACAGCTTTGTGTGGACGAGCCACAGATGAAGAGTATAAAATTGATGGATTTGATCTTTTCAGAAATGATCATATTCATTTGGAAAATAATATTCGAACGACATATGGGACAATTACGTACCTTAAATCGACACTTGCTTACCTTGTACCACCTTTTAGTTACAACTACAATAACATGGAAATTTCTGTGACAGTTGTGAACGAGCCTGTTCCCAATCTGCATATTGTTGGCATTTACCGTTCAAGGTCGAAAGTCAAGCTTCACAAACTCATAGAGGCATTAGACTATCTTCACATGACATTACTGGTTAACAAGCCAACCATTCTCCTTGGAGATTTTAATATTGACTTATTGAAACCCTCTAATGAGCGAAAAGCTTTAATGCAAAACATGATTGAGTGTAGGGGATACTCCCAATTGATCTCACAATTTACCACAAACCATAGAACTTGCATAGATCATATTTATACTAATATCCCACATGTTGTTCATTCATCTGGCACATTGGAGTCATACTTTAGTGACCATATAAACCAATTTTTGTTTGTCTTCAATTGATACACTAGAGTTTATGAACAGTAAGACTGTAAAATGTTCACACAGGTGACACAGCTTCAAATTTCGAGACCATTGGCATCCTGGTCCATTTTTAACATGTTTCACAACTGATATGTTTTTTTGTGGATTTAGACAATGGAAAACCAATGGTCATCCAATTCCCTCAAATAAGACCCCTGCTGGTAAGTGCAACACTGTTAACAGTCGTATAGCCACATATTAAACTAATAACAGACGGAATAATCAATGATACTAACTTTTCTAATACGTTTTAAAGTTCTAAAAGTCAAAGTGCAATTTTTGTTGGTCCTGTTCCTGTATATTAACAAACACAACTACATAAAAAATGTATACCACATTAAAATCAACTTTATTAACCATGTTCACCATATAGTAACCTCGAAGCAAAGCAAAACTGATAAGAAGCGAAGTAAACCTCGAGGCAAACCTAAACCAGCTACGGCCGTAGCACCTGAAGTTGCATCTGCACCGGATACAGCCCTCACAACTGAAGTTGCGTTTACCCAAGGAGCCGCCGTTACACCTGAAGTTGCATCT